AAATAAATAAATATGAGAGATAAAATAAAGTAAGATCTTATATTTAAAACCAAAATAAAAATTAAACGAGTTTTTATATTAATAATCAACTTCCTGCGGTTCTTTTAACATGCAAATTGCACATTTGCGATGGTGTTAAGAAGTTTTAGAAGTTCCGGTCAAAAAAAAAAAAAAAGAAGTTTTAGAAGTCAATTGGGATTAAGGGTGTGTTTGGCAAGCACCCCAAACCATGGTTTTGGGATCCAAACCATGGTTTGGGAAAAATGTTAGCCAAACACCCTTAAAAAAATCAAAACCATGGTTTGGGTTCAAAACCATGGTTTTGACTCCAAAACCATGGTTTTGAGAAAAGAAGAAATTTTTTATTTTTGGAGGAAAAAGGGGAGAGTGTGAGAGTCTATAGGATATGTATCTTGTTGTTTTTTTTATAAACATATTTTTTATAAATATATTATCTTATATCTTATAAATATATATACATATTAATTATTTATTAATTATATTATCTTATATATTATTAATATATGTTAATAAAAAATATATTATTAACAATTTTATTCCTTCAAATTAAATATATCATAAAATATATTTTTTCTATAATTATCATATTAATTTATGTCTATATATAAAAAGTACTTCCAATAACAACTATCCAAACACTCACACTTCTCAAAATCACTTTTTCACAAAATCTATTCTTCCCAAAATCTATTTTTTTCAGAATCTATTCTCCAAAAGCTATTCTCCAAATCATGGTTTGGTTTCATCCAAACACACCCTAAAAAAAAATAGTTGGATAAAAATTGAATGTTTGACATGACATTGACAACAACTGAATGTATGTTCAAAAGCTAATTTATAGCTGAATATTTTTAGCTTTGGGTTTTTGATTTTTTTTTAGTTGAACTTTGTGAAAATAACTTTTCAATAAATCATAAATTCACTCATCTAAATAGGTTAAAACCAGCTTATAATAAACTGCTATTCAAATATAAATTATATTACAAAATCATTTTTATCAACATGAACCAAAATAAGCTTGAATTTTATATCTTACGGTTTGTTTAGAATTATTTATAATAAATTTTTCAATTATAATTTACGGAATACGAAATAAATATGTAAAGAGAAGTTTTGCTTCAAATTACATGAAATTACTTATATTCTTATAAGTACTTAAAATAAGAAGAGCCCCTAGTATAATCTTGCAATAAAAGAAACAACTTCTCATCATACATGCAGCCCACGCCACACTTTCCTTACCGCTAAACAATCTCTTACACTATTTTTAGACCTTAATATAAGATATAGTTAACTAATTTGAGTAAATTAAAAAAATTTATTAAGTTAGTTATTTATAATAAATATGTGTTATCTTCTTTAAAATATCTTTGCTAATCATGTGTATTAGCTAAAATTATTTTTTGATAGAACTTTTAACATGTGTAATTACTACAAATAGTACTTCTCTGGTCATATTTATAGGACGGAGAGAGAAGATTTTTTGGTCCTATTTGTGAGGCACTTTATTAAATTTTTACCATGAATGTACTACTCTTCCGGTTCTTAATATAAGACCTATTTAATTAATTTGATTAGATTAAAAAAGTTAAGTTAGTTAATTATAAGACATGTGACACGTTTTTCCTAAAATACCATAATCATCTTTCTTAATATCCTTCTTCCTCTTCTATTTGATTATGGTTGAGAGAGTATCCATAGAGATAGTTTAGAGAAAATTGGTAAATATGAGAAATGGATCTTATATTTGGAACAAAAACCAATTCAACAATTGAGTCTTATATTAAAGACCGGAGGAGTATATTGTCTTTCATTTATTATAGTATAGATAATTATGTTTTTTGAAGCGTATATATATTAAATAGGGATAAAGTTGGAAAGTTATTATATTTTAACAAAGAATTAATACAATTTAAGGTTTTTCTTGATCTGTGTTAAATATATTGAAAGTGCCTTATAAATAGGACCAGAAGAATACTTTAGAAAAAAAAGATGGATAAATATAAAAAATAAAGTGAATTAGAATATTATCTTTAATAACAAATTAAATGTCAATGGTAGTTATTGTATTGATCACCAAAGGGAGTACACGGTTAGTGTTTTGCCTCTTTCTACAGATTTCAGATAACACTGTTCATCTTCTATTTACATTTGCGTGTGGTTTTTTGTTTTCGGTAAACCATTCATCTTATATTTTCCAGTAACTAGAATTTAGCCATTGCTCCCACAAATCACATGACTTCACCTTTAAACTCTATGCGAGCTTAATCTAACACACTTTATTCATGGCCTTCATATTCAAAATCCCCAAACCTTCATTTTAGGCTTATGCGTTTGCTTCCATTTCAAATGTGCTTTCCTTTGCCCGTCTTCACCATCACGGGATACAGAAAAAGGTTGCTCCAATGACAGATTCTGTAAGAGTCAATCAAACAGCTGCTTTCCAACCTAAAAGCCTTGCCTTCACCTTCTCCGGTGGGATATTGAATACCCAAACACTCACCTAAACAAACAAACAAAACAAACAACAAGCCTTATCTCACTAGGTGGGGTCGGCTATATGAATCACACGACGCCATCGTGCTCTATCAAAACACTCGCCTAAATTCTCCCATTTTGAAACCTCCATCTTCATAATCTATTCCATGAACTCCGTATTCATACTTCTTGACTACATTATGGAGGCTTTTAGCATTTACTTCTGTCTACGTATGTTACAAAACTCACCTAGCCACTTTATTGTTGTATGTTAATATCCTAAGTCCAAACAATACCACATCATCTACTAAAGTGTGGGTGTGAAACTTCCCTTCCCTTTCTGAATGGTAAAAAAAAAAAATCCTTTCCCTTGCCAACTATTGTCTTCCGCTTTCCGTTCTTCTTGCACCCCTGATAATATGGCCAAATTTTTTTCATGCCAGTACCAACACACTACCTTTTAATTCCGTGCTAAATATCCAGCTAGAAAAAAATTTTATCTTGGTCCTAAAAATAAAATATCAATTTATTTTATCTTTTAAATTTATAATTTTTTTTCTATCAAAGTTTCTCTATTAATTGTACATAATAAAAGAGTTACCATCTATGATAGTTACAATGCATACTATTAGAAAAGGGTATTATAGAGAAACGCATTTATTATAAGCAACTCATTTAGTTAGTTTTTTTAATATTTGCTAATTAATTATCCCACACTTATACTCCTCCGGTTTTTAATATAGGATATATTTAACTAATTTGATTAGATCAAGGAAGTTAGGTAAGTTAGTTAATTATAAAAAATATAATATGTTTTTCCTAAAACACTATAATTATCTTTTTTAATATCGACCTCTTTCTTCTACTTAATTATGGTTGAGGAGTATCCATGAAGCAATTCAAAAAAAATTGATAAATGTAAGAAATAAGTCTTATATTTCGGATCAAAATTGAATCAACAATTAGGATATGAGGAGTATTAAAAATTAGGGCTAGTATAAATTTATAAAGCCCCAGATGTGTATACTTCCATTACTAAAAAATAATCATCATTAATTTCGAGACATGAACAACCACTACACGCGTACACGCGCATTTTGGTCACACACATGCACACAGAAAACCGATTTTTCAAGGCATTTTATAGAACGAAAAATTCTGGTCATATTAGTAGGCTTGCAACTAGTTAAACGTCATATTGATTAGCTCAATGGGCGGCTTCATGTGATATAATAGCTAGTTAATTAATTAAGGTGGATTAAAAAAATTTGTTAAGTTAGTTATTTGTAATAATTAAGTATATATTTTTTAGAATATTATTGCTAATCATATGTGTTGGTTAAAAGTATCATTAGATAGAACTTTTAACATGTACAACTACTACAAGGATTATTTTAAAAAAATGAATAAATATGATAGACAAAGTAGATTAAGGTCTTTTATTTAATTAACTTTATATTTAAGGATGTGAGGTAGTACTCCTCTGATCCTTAATACTCCTCCGGTCCTTAATATAGGACCCATTTAACTAATTGATTAGATTAAGGAAGTTAGGTAAGTTAGTTAATTATAAAAATTGTGACATGTTTTTCCTAAAATACCATAATCATCTTTCTTAATACTCCTCTCTATCTTCTACTTGATTATAGTTGATAGAGTATCCATAGGGGTAATTTAGAGAAAATTGATAATATGATAAATGGGTCTTATATTTAGGACCAAAATCACTCAACAATTGGGTCCTATATTAAGGACCGGAGAAGTATAAGAGCTATTTAATTAATTTGATTAGATTAAGAAAGTTAGGTAAGTTAGTTAATTATAAGAAATGTGACATGTTTTTTTTTTCTAAAATACCATAATCATCTTTCTTAATACCTCCTTTTCTTCTTCTACTTGATTATGGTCGAGGGAATATCCACAGGGGTAATTTAGAAAAATTTGATAAATATGAAAAATAGTTCTTATATTTAGGACTAAAACTAACTCAATAATTAGATCTTATATTAAGGATCAGAAGAATACCTAATTATAATTATAAGAAATGTTCTTAAAATGCTAAAAGTATCCGGGTTTTTTTAAACAAAATTAAATACTACCTCCGGTCCTAATTATAAGACCCAATTGACTAATTTGAGGAGATTAAAGAAAGAAGTTAAGTTAGTTATTTGTAATAAATATGTATTGTCTTTCTTAAAATATCCTTACTAATCAACTATATTGGCTAAGACTATCATTATTAGAAGGACTATCTTGAAAAAAAAAGTATAAATATGATAGATAAAATAGATTGATTTTTTATATTTAAAACTAAAATAAAAGTGAAACAGGATGTTATATTAATTACTGACCTAGGATTCTGCATTGATACAGGGATATTCTGGACAAAAAACTTACAAGAACCTTTTTTTCAGACTCGAGACTTGAGACTTGAGAGTCGCTCCACGGATGAATTAATTTGTAGTTGTTGTATTCTTTGATTCTTTCCCCCACAAGCACTTATTTACATTTTGCATAGGCTGATCGTTTCTGAAGCTTCTGTTGAAACCGATAAATCCTTTTGATTATCAAGTTGGTAATAACGTCTTCGGAGTTCACGTATCAAGGTCCAGAATTCCGTTTCTTCATCTGTCAGTTTCGGTTGCTTTTCTAGATCTGAGAAGTTGTAAAGTTGTAGCTGCAGAGGAACTTCGATGACGATTTTCTGACGCTTATTTTCGGACTTCATCTTGAAGAGCAAATGCCTAGCCGGCGATCTGGTTATTCTTTTGGATCTCAAATCTCCGCTTTGTTGCTCGCTATGATAGCCACCATGGCTACTATTTACGTGGCCGGCCGGTCCGTTTTTCTCTGATCATGATTCACACTTTCTCCATCATACGTCCTTTGAATGTTTAGTTTGGGCTGCTTTATAACATAACAAAATGATACATTTTGAAATGTACAGGCTATGGCAGGACGCGGAGAGCAGGGTGTATTTAATTCAAAAGCTTGATAAAGGAACTGGTCAGGTACAATGTCACTTAAATTAATCGCACTCTTGTCATGGGGTTCATATATGAGTATTTAGCTATGTGCCTTAGTGTGTGATTGCAAGCATGTTTTTAATTTTTAATCATCATCCATAGGAAAATCAATGAGGCAGTATACTTCATCCGATTTCAGGGTCATTCTGCCATATCCGTTCATGATACCCTTAAAGTTATAACCTGCAGGTAATTTTTGCTTGGAGCCAATGTCTCCATCCTCCCTTTATATTAAATTACCTCTGCAGTTATTACATAGTATGAATTTGGGTTGAAGTTTCACTATAGCAGAGATCGGCCTGAAGCCATTGGTTACACACTCACTATTTCTTATTTGTAGGGAACAACAGAAGACCTTATCCTCCCTTGAGATGGAACTAGCTGCAGCTAGACAGGAAGGCTTTGTTTCAAAGCACTTACTAGTAAATGATGGGACCGGGAGACAGTCAACAAAGAGGCTTCTCTCAGTCATAGGAATAATAACAACATTTGGCCGAAAGAAAAACAGAGATGCTATTCGTAAAGCGTGGATGCCAACAGGTAGCATATCCTTGTTTGTTTTCCCAGCAAGACTAATATATTGTAGCCTTTTAGGGTCATATTCATTCTTCAGTGCTACACCTGCTAATCCTATACTCAAGGAGGTTGCAGTGCAGGCTTAAATTTACTAGTTTTGTATCCAGTTATTGTAATAATATTGCTGAATTTGCATGCACCTTTTTTTTTCTGTCATTATTCATGGTTTTCTTCATCATTTATTAATCATAGCATTTTATCTAATGAAAGGATGATTGATCGGCCTGAGATTCATTGCCTCGTCACTATAAACAAGTCAGATGTAAACCATTTCAAGTAAGATATTTTGACAACCGGGTGTGAACACACATGGTATTAAAAGACATAACCTGGATGAGCCATTTGGCTTGTAACGAAAGACATGCTGAAAATTTTGGATCAGAGTTATTTAAACCTGAAAGTAATAGATAGACTCTCCATATATGTGAAGTATTGCTCTGTGAAAACCATGACAAGGGAAAGCTAAGAAAATGTCGCCTTTTCAGGCAGTCAAGGTCATTTTGTTCTAAATTGATGAAATGCCGTTTCATCAACTTGTTTCACTGCATATTTTATATGGATTCATGCAGAAATATACTTTACAAAAGTGCAATTGTTGGACTTGGAATAATTATAGTTAGCCTTGCCCAATTTGTTCTGTTGCATTATTAAGTTGCCAACATCATTAATCATGTGATGTATTACGATATGAAGCATTGTTTGTTTGATTTTTTTTTTTTGTTTTTTTGGAACTGCAATGTGCAAATTCTATTGGGGTTTTTCATTTCTTGCACTGAGGATGGTTATTGGTTGGGACTCAGATTGTGGTAGATGTTAACTGACTGACATGGTGCATCTTAATTGCAGGTGCGAATATGAAAAAATTAGCCGACCAAAAGGGCATGGTTGTGCGATTTGTAATTGGAAGAAGGTCTGTTTTTTGGTTATTCAAATTCAAAATGATATGAAATGATTTTTTTTTTTTTTAAAAAAACTTGTTTGATTTAACTGACATTTGCCTTCCTAGCAGTGCAAACCGTGGGGACAGTTTGGACAAAGAAATAGAAATCGAGAACAGTCAGACCAATGACTTCATCATTCTGGTATGTTGAGTGTTTTCAATTTCATGTGAACAACATTTGGTGTGCAGTAGATATAACAAATTTTCCCGTGTGACTAAGTGGAGTTTAGTTGATTGTGCATTCCTGATACATGCATAGTATATACTTCACATTGTAAGGGAATCATTTTTTCATAACGAATGCCCAATTACTGGCTTTTAACTTATGTATGTAAATTCACCTTTTTAATGTTTGTTTTGGTTGATATCCTAAAAGAGCAAATACCACCAGCTCATTATTTAAAAATGTCAAATGTCTACTGAATTTGGTGTGGTTAAGAACCTTCAATTGATATTTAAGAATGTAAAATAGTATATGCGACCATGTCATTAGCTTTTGTTTTTTTTTTTGTTTTACCCAGGATAAACATGTGGAGGCACCAGAGGAGCGCTCAAAAAAGATAAAATCCTTCTTCATTCATGCAGTCGACAACTGGGATGCTGAATTTTATGTCAAGGTCAATGATGATGTCTTTGTCAATCTTGGTATGTGGTCTATTCTTTGTAGTCAGTTTTATTTCTGAATGCAAGAAATTCTGTGTTTTTGAGTTGCTAGAAAATATATTTGATTAGCCCTATAACTTTTTTCTTGGACAAGATTAGCCATGTAACTTTAAGAGGCCTCGATATAATTTATTCCGGCATGAAATATAAATGAAATTATTGGCACTGCATATTTGCTGATTAGCCAAAGTCTGCGACATTACTTCCACGCCCTCTTCCCACCCAAAGAAAAGAAAAAAAAAATTGAACTCCCTTAACATAGTCTAAAACCCAGAAGTTCTTGATCTTTAATCTTAACATTTTCAATGATGCACATGCACTTTGAGATGGACATTTTCCCCTCAGGGATTGTTATAATTGTTTTGAAGTCTAGAAAATGAAAACAATATGAAAATACCCTCATATTGAGGTATTTAGGGACACAGATTGTTATTTATTATTATTTGATAAAATATTGTTGAATTTAATGGGACTTGACGCTCATTGATCTGTGATTCTCTGCTGCGATATGAATCTATGACACAACCTTCTTTACAGATGCCCTTGGAGCAGTGTTAACTTCTCATTTAGATAAGCCCCGTGTTTATGTTGGTTGTATGAAATCGGGCGAAGTGTTTTCTGAGCCGTAAGTCTAATCAAAATGTTCTAGTGGATAAGATTAATTTATTATGATACTAAAAGATTCTTCTTTGTTCTGATATTTGAAATATATAGGACACATAAATGGTATGAACCAGATTGGTGGAAATTTGGCGATGGAAAATCGTGAGTACCATTACCTTCTTTAATTACTTTTTACTAATGATAGAGCATAGATAAAAAGCAATGATTTTCTTTTGCGGGTTGGGAACATCGCTCTATTAATCTACTCCCTTTTGCCCCTCTAAATTGAATGGGTTATTTGCTTTAGTGATTTCCCTGGATATAAATATGCTTTGTGTAACTCATGGAGATAATTCAGAAAATCATTTCATTTCAATAATAGCAATTGTGTCTTCCTCTCTTTCTCTCTCATTGCCAGACTTAGTATTACATTTCTGCGCTGAGTGTTGACAGTCATTTATGTGCTTTTTGGCCCTATCAATGCAGATACTTTCTACATGCTTCGGGTGAGATCTATGTTATATCAAAGTCATTGGCTCAGTTTATATCAACAAACAGGTATAGTCTTTTGCATATTTATTTTTCATTTGTGGTTGTGCTTGTGATGAATGTCATGCGATTGAATTGTTCTCTTTGTAGATATACTCTTCGTACATATGCACATGACGATGTAAGTGCCGGATCATGGTTTATTGGTCTTGATGTGAAGCACATAAATGAAAGGAAGTTTTGCTGCTCCTCATGGTCATCAGGTCTCATTCTCTCCCCACCGTTATCAGAAAGACAATTGTGTCAACCTCTCCCAATTTAAACCTTAACTGACTGTTAGTTCGAAGAATTATCAGTAATGAAAATTAGTAACGTTTTATGCCTAGGTTGATTGACTGAAGTCATTCCTCTCTTTCTGTTAGTTTCCTAAACATAAAGGTTCAAACGAGTTAAATTAAACCTTTCAAACCATGTGACGTACATAACTCATTTCTCAGATGAAGCCAATAACCTTAAGATTTTGGTCTATTGGCCTAGTTTAGATAGAAGACTAAATTGATTTCTTAGATCAATTTTCCTAAGGAATCGTAGCACATAAAGCTAGCATCTTTGAAATAAAAAATTACTTTGGCTTGCATGAAGGACCACCTTTTTATGGTGACTACAATTTATCTGTTTCAAACTTGTTGGAGTAGGTTTCCTTTCGAGATGATCATTTTATTTAGATAGAGGAGATTCAAAAGTTTAAAGCCTTTTTCAAATTACTAATAATGTTTCTTATGAGGTCTGAGACATTACCATCGTGAATTGTTTTCTGTTATTTAGGGGCTATATGCGCAACTGTATGACTTGTCAGTAAAGTACTAATGGCATACTGGGATTTATAGAGAAGTAGAGAACGGAAGGCCTTTGTCTTGCATCAAACCGTGTTTGCCAGAAGTTGAATATGCCGCTTGAAGGCGAGGCCGAAGAAACTGCTAATTAAAGACTCTTAAGTTGATGCTTCAAACTCACTCATCACCACTCCCCATTCAATCTCAAGATCTTGGTATAGTCCCCATTCGGTCTAGAGATCTTGGTATAGTTATTGACCCATTTCGTATAATTTTGTATTATGGATAGCTCTCTTACCACTTCTACACATTATTTTCCCATTATGGGATGACAGGAGAAACATCCTTCATAGAGAGACAAATGTGATCTGTTACTTGAATGAGCAAAGACATCTGTCTGCATAATTGTTTATTCAAGAAAACAAGGCCATTCATTTCCGCTGGGGGGCCAAATATTGTTGAACTCAGCTCAATAGAGACCGGTATAATTACTGTGCCCATTCTTCGATGTCCAGGCCGAGAAGAATGGGTCGCTGCTACACGACCTTATCTCATCTTGAATAACCCAGGGAAATAAAATTATAGAGAAAAAAAGGGGGGGGTATTTTCATTTGTTTTCATTATTTTATAAAAATAATAGAAACTCACCAAATCATGCTGATAACATCTCTGAAAAAAAAATTAAGTGGTTGTACGTATTTGAGAAGATTGTAACCTTCATGGCCATAACTCAACTACACGTAAGATTCTACTTTCATGACCACTAGTTTTTTTTTAGTGGCAATCAATCAATCGTTCATCTTTGTCGTTCGCATGAGCTGGTCTAAAAATCATGGCATCAATTGGGCAAACATCTAAAAACTGCCAAGAGGAAATTTCGGTGCACGGTTGGTTAGCGGGACCGACCTCGTGCAATCAAAGGTTGATTTTCCGTTTTTGTAAAGTCCGATTAAAATTAAAAGGCCAAAAAGAATTTTGATTAAAATTACATTTAATGCATGTTGACCAAGCGAGGGGCACCGACTATTCCAAATTACGTTTTTGAAGGGCCAGGGCCGGAGCCGGATCCGGAGCCGGGGCTTAGCCGGTCTTGATTGGTGTGGCATGTGGGTGACCAGCTGAATCTTTGAATTCTGTTTGGTCTTCCAGAGTCTACTGAAGGGGCAAACGACAATTTCGCGCGTAACTGGGTCGTTAATTCCGGTATTCTGCCTCTTGTGTCCATATTTAGAACCTAGAGGACTCGTTGAAAGCTGAAACCCCGAAATCCAAACCCTTCTTCGGCTTCACATATCCTTCCTTCCTACCCTCGAATATGTGATTCTGCTTGAAAACTATCCACTCCGCCACATGGGCGCACCAAAAATACTGGTCACCATTCTTCTATCCGTGAGTCAAATTTTAATTTGTGCTTCGTCCCCATTTAGTAACTGTGAGAAATGGGGTTTGGCCGATGTCTAGTAATTGGCTTTATTTTATAAGTTACCAACTCCAAAAAAAAAATCTTCCTGTGTCTGTATTTGACCACTGTTCGTTAGGAGGAGGCTCTATTATCTGAAAAGTCATCGGATATTAATGTTGAAGAGAAGATCAAGGTAGTTGGTATTTGTTGGGCTTTTAGTTTCGTATTTCACGAGAAAACTTGGTAGGTCACAAGAAAAGGTCACACGGGAAGCTCACGAGTTTTCACCCGCTTCACCGTCACGGCTGAAGTCAGTTTCTCTTCAAAGTTCCATTGTTCTTTTTAGCTTCTGGGAATCCAATTTTAATGTACTTAGAGGTTGAGAGACACAGATCATATATCTTGTTTGTTGAATTGATATCGTGGAGACGACATGAGTCATTCTGGAGCAGAAAGGGAAGGCAGAGCTGGAGTTGAAGTTACCAAGGACAAGAATGGAGTAGACCAGGTTGTTCTTCGGAACAATCGAGGAGCTTCAGCAAGGGTTAGATCCTCTACTCACAAAGAGTTTACAACATTAGGAAATGCAAAGCCTGTAGGCCAAGTGGCTAACTCACATATCGTGATTAAATTATTCAGGTTAGTTTGCACGGAGGGCAGGTACTTTCATGGAAAACTGAACGTGGTGAAGAATTACTCTTCACTAGCAGTAAGGTAAATACTAAATTACCATATGGAGTCTTCCAAATCAATTTTGTTTTTATCTCACCTACCTTAGAAACTTGATGGCGTTACTTTCCCGTTAGGCTATCTTTAGTCCTCCGAAAGCAGTGCGAGGAGGAATTCCAATATGTTTTCCACAGGTATGGTTCTGAATTCGTTAGATGAGAATCTTATAATACTGAATGGCATGTATATATACCAAGTGTGGTTCGGCTCATGTTTTGCAGTTTGGAAACCGAGGAACACTAGAGCAACATGGATTTGCAAGGAACAAGATGTGGGTCATTGATGACAATTCTCCACCAATTCCTAGTACCGATTCCAATGGCAAATCCTATATTGACTTGCTACTCAAACCATCTGAAGAAGATCTTAAGATATGGCCACATAGGTACGCCTAAATCGCCATCTTTTCAACGTATAAGTTTGGATCAGAATTTATAACTGAGGGATTTGGAAGGAAATGACCATAAACCGGTCTTTTGATGGATCATTAAGTTCCTGTTTTTTCTCTCCCAAAATGGATGTAAGATTGCATCCAGAAACAAGCAGTTGCCTTGACCGCAAAAGAATTCCAACAGCATGTTGGAATAGTTCAACTCCTAACATGCTCAGCCTGGCTACTTCAAACAATCATTCAATTTAGGAAACTCTGTCATGTTCTTCGGATCATAACTAGTCCTTCGCCATCCATTTCCTCAAGACATTCACATATTTCATGTCATTGGAAAGTTACATTTGAGATGCTGATATGGACTATATTTTGCAGCTTTGAGTTTCGGCTTAGGGTGTGTTTGGCAGCAGATGGCTATCTAACTGTGATTTCTCGCATCAGGAACGTGAACAGCAAGCCTTTCAGTTTCTCCTTTGCGTATCACACGTACTTCTCTATCTCTGATATCAGGTCCGCATCACGCAGTCCCTCTACTTTTCTTTAGACAATATTTCGTGCAAATAATAATAAACAAAATCACTCAAATCACCTTCAGACGTAGTAATCCATAAACATGGACATAAACATACCGTTTACTGATTATTGACAGTGAAGTGAGGGTAGAAGGGTTGGAGACTCTTGATTATCTCGACAACCTACGCAATAAAGATCGCTTCACAGAACAAGGGGACGCTTTAACATTTGAATCTGAGGTGAAACAAGATGATGTTTTAGTTCAAGTTTTTCACAATAGTTTGCCAAGGCTGAAGATTTGTCTAGCTTACCAAGTTCCTAAGTCGCCCTTTTATTTTAGGTGGATCGTGTCTATCTGGATTCATCAAATGTTGTCGCTGTTCTAGATCACGAAAGGAAGAGAACATTTGTGATAAAAAAGGAAGGACTTCCAGACATTGGTAAGGTCTTTTGTTGCCAGCTAGCACTCACATCCTAAATCGAAATGGCAAATAGTTTACTTAGGTCTCTGTCATTTTCTGACTGCAACACCGCTGGAAAAAAAAAAATTAACCACATGAGATTTGATTTGACACAGTTGTTTGGAATCCATGGGAGAAAAAGTCAAAAACGATGATGGATCTTGGGGATGAAGAGTACAAGCATATGCTTTGTGTTGATGGTGCAGCAGTTGAGAAACCAATCACATTGAAGCCAGGTGAAGAATGGACTGGCCGCTTGGACCTTTCTGTTGTCCCCTCTACCTGATCCCCGTTAGCTGACTTTTAGATGCGCATGACTCTGAATGTAAACCACCCAGCATTCTTTTTAAAGAGCTGGTAACAGTCTATTTAAAATAATAATGTTTAAGTGATATAAATGTAAATAATAGGAGATGATCCCAGACATAGGGCAAATTGAAAATAAGTCTCCTGTAATTTTTTTTTCTTTTTTAAAAAAAAAAAGATAGATATGAGCTATTTACTTGATATGGAGCCCAAAATAAGATCAAGCATGCAAGTATGAGAATAGACATTGTAAGATGATCCGCACTTATCATAGCGGCTTCCTAGAGTTTATAAAATTTGTATTGGTATTGATGCATATTTCCACTCTTCAGTGAATTTGAAATACATAAGTGACGCACTTGAAGTGATTGTTGGATATGATTAATGAAACTGTGAGGTGAATTTCTCAGAATCTTCCCCTGGAAAAGGCTTTTCTTTAGAGCATAGTTTTCTGGGCTTTTGTTCACAGCCCTTTTTCTTGGGTATTTTAACTATTTAAGACAAAAGAAGAAATAAGAAAAAGGAATAACTTGAAACCCCCCCCCCCCCCGGGGAAAAAAAAAAACACGGAGAAAGGAATAACCACTTTAGATTGGGCTATTGAACTAGCTTCACTTTTGCTTGTGCTTTCTCTTTTGTTCAAGCCCCAACTCTGGTTTGAACTTCGAACTTCGAAGTTTGAACTACGGACCAGTCGGTATGAGATAGCCCTACCAGGCAGTTTGTATTGGATTAGGTTCTCCTCAGGAGAAGCCTTGCTTTAACTTGAAAATACGCCCGTTGGTAGCTCGAAAAAGACTGTCCAATTGAAAAGGAAAAAGACAAACAGAGGGAGACCGGTATGTAAGCACAAAAAAGCTTATTTGGCACGCAGTTGTTTTTTCCTCTATTTTTTCAATCAAAAAATTGTATTTACTACCATTACTCTCACCCTTCAATAAATTAAATCCAACCAAGCTTCGCCGGGCTTTTTTCTTCCAGTTTTGATGTTATCTTTGTTCTAATTAAACATAAATAATAAGCGACATGATATCATAGCCTTTTGAAAACTTTATCCTGAAAGCAGCTCTTAATGTGTATATTGTCATGCTTGTTAGTGATAGCCAAATTAGTGCTTCTTGCGGGGAAGTTAAATGGCCACCGCTCAAAGTGAAGTAAATCATGAAGCAAACTGAATCCACTCACAAAATCACGACACTATTTGGTATAGTCAAATTCAAAGGGACCCCATATAACCTCAAACCTCAAACACCCAATAAAACAAAAGATAGAGAACATCAAAACCGGACAACCAACTACTAATGGTATGTCAGTATGGTTTGTATTATTATCATGGTGACTTGTCCTGCTGGTGCTGTTCAACAAGCTTCCAAGAGAATGGCATAAAATCAAAGCATTCTCATCAGAATGCCACCAAGAAGCAATAAATGAAAGGTCCTTCAGACACCAAAGAAAATCACGGAGACAAACTAAGAACCATATGGACCAGTTGTAAAACGGGCGATTTCTACCGTACTACTACTGACACATATAGCTCCTTGGCAAAAGGTGAATCACATAGTAGAGGAGGCAGATTAAGTGTATTGATATGAATGAACAAAGTGCCAAAAACACAGTGAACCATATCAATCACCGCAAAATAATGAACTTTCAGTAGCTAGGGTCAAGTAAAGTTGAGACCTAATGTTACCTGAATGCAACCCCAGAAAAGTAATTGGCTGAATAGGGTAAGATTCGTCTTCAATTCAAGACCATGCGTTTTGGGTATTACAATTGAATGAAGAATTGATCTCTCACCAACTGCTTCTCCGGACATAAGTTAGTTTAGAATTAACGTGAGCTGATGGAGGAAAACGACTTATCAGTTATGCTATGAGCAAGGAGAGAACAAGGGAAGCTCAAACAAGGAAAGAAACATTTAACATCCAAGATCAAATTTTGGTAACTAGTAACTAGCCATAAACTCAAACCAACAGCCCAAGGCATGTCAAAAGACATTTCACATATGTAACGTTTGTAACTCCGATAACTTACATATTCTATAAATTGTCATAAAAACATCGCAAAAAGACAGGTTTCATTAGGTAACTGGAGGAGATAAGTATATTCATTATTGAAGTAGATAATGACCCTTTTCCCCGCCATTTATGCCAGGGGGTTTTATTATTTTATTATTGGGGGACACAGTCAAAGGAATGGGATATTATTTACAGGCCAATGAGATAACAGAGGACCCACATGGCAGAAGGCCATGCCGCCACGTCAATGATCCATATAAACCCTTTCTTTATACCTCGTTAAACACAGGTTTTCCGTTCCACGGGGCAGCGTTGATCTCTGAGTTACCCGTTAGGTGAGTGCTTTACTCACACAGTCACACTCACATCACTCTCACTCTCAGTCGCCTCCTTTGGATTCTCATTCTGGCTTTCGTCCGCCATGACCTCCAAAAATGGAGAAGTTGAAGAGCGTTGAAATTCTTTGTTTAGCTTCAATGGCGACTTTGGGTAGCTCTTTTATCTGTCGCTTTCCCTCGATCCCTCTTTGTGATTCAAAGTCTTCTTACAAGATGATGGCTTATTCTCCCTTTTTCAACGCTTTTCACTGTTTATTATGCATTGGATGCTTCTTTTAGCGAGCACTATTAGTTTTGTGAAATTATAACTCGTACGTTCTCTTCTCCTACCCATTCTCTATCTTCCGTCATTTTTGGTTAATAATACTTACTTAAACTAGTGATGCCTGTGAAATGGTGTCCTCCTGGAGGCAGAGGGGGTGGTCGCGGAACGGAGTGAGTGGTTTCTGTTTTGTTCTGAACTTCGTATTTCTTTATAATTTGAATTCTCGATCTTCGCCAGCTCCAAGAAAAAAGTTACTGTGGAATAATGAACGAAAAGGAACACCACATCTGGACGAACACACTGCTTTTTTAGATTAAATTATTTTGCTTTGACTTAAACGAAGCCTCGCTCACAGCTTGCAAGCTCGTTCTTTTATGCACAATTTTCTCAGTGTCCGCATCTACTTTCGTCGACAATCATCTTGGAACCAGATTTTCTTTTGCTCTCTTTCAGTTGCTTCTATCTATCACTTTTTTCTTTTTCCTTTCTCACATTTTAGTTTGCTAGGCGGGAAAAAAAAAAAGATAAGCAAATTCCCTTTTATTTTGTATTTATTCTAACGCAGTTGTGTTTCATTTTAGTCTGTCGAACAGACCAGCGAAGTAAACCAACCTATAGCAGAAACATCTCGTTCCTGCTGGAAGTAGTGCATTTTCGCCGAATGGCATTTCTACGCATTTTCTATTCCATTTGCCTACTGGATCTGGTTCTCCGGCAAGGAAATGCAGAGCCTCTTGAAGATAAGCGAGCTTTGCTTGATTTTGTGGACCAGTTCTCTCACTCTCGCCCTCTAAATTGGAACGAGAACACTTCTGTGTGTACTAATTGGACTGGAGTCACTTGTAACGAAGACAAGTCCCGAGTAATAGCCATTCGACTGCCGGGCATTGGATTTCATGGAGCAATTCCACCCAACACAATTAGCCGCCTCTCAGCGCTGCAAATCGTGAGCCTCAGATCCAATTTTCTCAGTGGGAGTTTCCCTTCTGATTTTTCTGAGTTAAAAAACTTGTCTGTACTGTACCTTCAATTTAATAACCTGTCGGGTTCTTTACCGGATTTCTCTGTCTGGAAGAATCTTACCATTATCAATTTGTCCAATAATCGTTTCAACGGCAGCATTCCTTTCTCAGTTTCTAATCTGACTGAGCTTGCTGGTTTGAATCTCGCAAACAACTTGCTTTCTGGTGAAATTCCTGATATCCAGTTGCCTAGATTGCAACAGCTAAATTTGTCCAACAACAAGTTGAACGGTAGTGTGCCTAACTCTCTCCAGAGGTTTCCTATGTCAGCATTCCTCGGTAATAACATATCTTTTGGAAATTATCGTCACCTTTCTCCTCTACTTCCTCCTTCTTCCAAACCATCTTCAAAATCCAAGAAACACGGAGCTCTCCGGGAAGCAGCACTTCTGGGAATTTCGATTGCTGTTGGTGTGCTTGCTCTTTTAGCATTTGGTTTTCTGATGTTTGTATGCTTCTCAAGAAGGAGGGACGAAGATGGGTTCTCTGGGAAGTTGCAGAAGGGAGGAATGTCTCCGGAGAAAGAAGTTTCGAGAAATCAAGATGCGAATAATAAACTTGTTTTCTTTGAGGGATGTAACTATGCCTTTGACTTGGAGGATTTATTAAGGGCTTCTGCTGAGGTACTGGGCAAAGGAACGTTTGGCACTGCATACAAGGCCATACTAGAGGATGCTTCCACAGTCGTCGTAAAAAGGCTGAAGGATGTAGCTGTTGGAAAGAAAGACTTTGAGCAACACATGGAGATTGTGGGAAGTCTTAAACATGATAATGTAGTTGAGCTGAAAGCATATTACTATTCCAAGGATGAGAAATTGATGGTATATGATTATTACAGCCAGGGGAGCCTATCTTCTTTACTGCATGGTATGTAGCTTAATTTTAGCCTAATTGCAATCATATACGCGCTTTCAAAGTCATTTATTGTCTGTTCTATCGTGCACTAGTTTATTATTCACAGTTGTTTGATAATCGCTGTATGACTATGGATGCAGAGAAAGAACACCATGAACTTCTCGATACACAGTAACCCTTGAGAAGGTTTTCACCGCAATACGTTTGTCAGTTATAATATTTGGGATAGATAATAGATTCTCTTCCTCTTTCTCACTGTTGGAAAAATTGTATTGTAAGTTAAAGATTGCGTATGAATCCTGGTATAATGTATATCTGTATAACATGTTTTGAATAAATAACTTGAGCTGTCTTAAACGCTTATTGCGACTCCTCTTTTCTTTTTCTCATTTAGTTTCATCCAATGACACCTTTTCCCTGTTTTATAAGTCAAAGTGTTCTCCTAATTATCTTGATTGGAATCATAATTCAGTTATGTTGATATTGTTTAGGCGGCATAAACTTAAACTTCAAATCATAGTTTTTCGCTCCCTTGTTTTTAGTTCAGGAACTGCTACAATCATTTACATTATAGACAATCCATAAGCTCTTAGTGCCTTAAAGAAGGGTACATCACCAATTGATTAGGAGCCAGCTCCAGGCCTTTATTCTGTTATTTTTGAAGAGACTTGAGCCTTAAGCATGACATGATATTACAAAAAGGAATGAAGCCCACGGCTTTGTGGTAATCAAGTCTGCCATTTCTGGTGTTACAAGGATCGTTCTGTCAAGTAGAAGTTTAACACCTCCATAATAAACATCTCAAAAGTCAAAACACACAGAACCTTTCATGTGTTACCCGAAGATATAAATTATGTTGAACTTTTATGGGCAGTGGTCAGCACGGAGCTGGCAAATGCCATGTGTGTTTGTGTGTGCATATTGCTCTTCTTTCTTTCTTTTTGGCTTTTTAATATTTTGTAAAGTCACTGTGTTATAAGTTTTGCTACTTCCTGAATTCTTCAGGTAAAAGAGGAGAGGATAGGGTGGCTTTAGACTGGGATAGTCGGCTTAAAATAGCAATAGGTGCTGCAAGAGGGATTGCTCGGATCCACGCAGAGAATGGTGGAAAGATGGTGCATGGAAACATCAAATCTTCAAATATTTTTGTCAACTCTAAGCAGTATGGTTGTGTGTCTGATCTTGGGTTGGCCATGATAATGAGCTCACTGGCCCTCCCCATCTCACGTGCTTCTGGCTATCGAGCGCCCGAAGTTACGGACACCAGAAAAGCAGCACAGCCTTCAGATATTTACAGTTTTGGAGTGGTGTTACTGGAGCTTCTGACTGGGAAATCCCCCATACTTACCACAGGCGGGGATGAGATTGTCCACTTGGTGAGGTGGGTCCATTCAGTAGTGCGAGAGGAGTGGACAGCTGAAGTGTTTGACCTGGAACTGATGAGATATCCAAATATAGAAGAAGAGATGGTGGAGATGTTGCAGATAGCCATGGCATGCGTGGCAAGGATGCCAGATCAGAGACCGAAGATTTCAGACGTTGTAAAGATGATAGAAAATGTGAGGCAACTTGATATGGAGAATCGTCCACGACCTGATGAGAGCCAAGCTGAAAGTGCAACACCACCGTCAGTGTTAGGTACCCAGCAGTCATCACAAATTCTTTGAACAGTGTTACGGCAACTTTCCTCCTAGGCTTTCCATTAAGAAATGAAACGAAGTTACTGCTTTTATTTGGCTTTGAGTGTATGGGAACTGAAACTCCGTGGTTGTGAACAAAAGCACGATTCTTTTTTGTTTTCGTTTTCCTCCTCCTCTTCCTTTTTATGTTTGATCTGTCCGAGTAGGCAGCGGAAGAAAACAACGTCTGGTAAGAGAAGAGGTTATCTTCCTTTTGAAACAAGAAAGATGAACCTCCTAATACTTGCTTGAGGCTTTAAAAATGCGCTCACTTAGACCATGGTCACTAGGGTACCTCTAGTTCCTAGGGTTGAATTGTTGCATGGTTCAACAAAAACGGTGGTAAGAAATAAAAGCAATGATTGTCCACCATCCTTGACTTTCGAGGAATGGGTCGGGGCACCAACGTTTGTCTCCACTCGAGTCGTATCAGTTGACAGTTGGTTGACCATTGCTCCCTCACTGTGCATACGAGACACTGAAGCAAGACGGCTAATACCCTGTTTTTTTTTATTAAAAAAAATGAAACCCATATGAGGTATTTCTGGACTATTTTATGAACGCAAATTATGAGATGAGTGTGCTCAGAAACTACATTTCAAATTTCATTATTCATTTGGTATCGAATTTTTAAAATTCTTATCGTTAGTCTACATTTAAACCTTCTTTATGTGATGCTAATGTGACTCTTCGTGGTCGCTTCCCCATCTCCGAAAATTTGTTAAAATCAGTGGAATTCGGTCCTACGGTCTCACTCACCACCTCCCATCCAATATTATAGGACACCAACTAATACAGCGGATGGCTTTTAGCATCTTCCGAGGCTGTAGTATGCCAGCAGTTATACTGCCAAGTTTTTGAGGCATATCCTTAAAGCAAGTTTGGATTATACTGCCAACTAGTAAACTTTATTGAACAGATGACAGCCTGACCTGTCAATTCAAAATTCTCATATCTCTTTTTTTCTCTTGTTATTTTGTATACATATGCTGTGTCGTGATAGTTTGTTTATAATTTACAAATAAAATCTTATAATTAAAATCTGAAGTAATATATCTTCCTATCTTCCTTTATTTCTTGTTTTTTATTTATTTGTCTTTGAATGCTTAAATCAACTAGTCTGGAGCTTTTCAGGCCAAAAAAAAGTAGTATGGAGTTTTGTGAGAAAAGATAGGAAAAAAATCCAAAAAATACTCAAGAAAATTATTGAAGGATACCTTTAACAATCTGACCAAAAATTTAATACTACTAACCGTTCTTAATATAAAAGTTAGTTAACTAATTTGAATAAATTAAAAAAATTAGTTAAGTTAGTTATTTGTAATAAATAAATGTTATCTTTCTTAAAATATCATTGATAATTAAGTATATTGGTTAGAACTATCATCATTATAAAGACTATCTTGGAAAATATAGATAAATATAAGAGACAAAGTAGATTGAGGGCTTATATTCATAATCAAAATAAAAGCAAAAAATAAGCTCTTATCTTAAATACCGGGTAATAGTTGATGAAGTAAAATGGTATCCATTGCTGTATTTGCGTTGGGGTTCATACATAGTGGCGTCCCTGAGTTGATATTTTTCTTATTTTTTGGTATAACAAATAACACAAAAAGATTGTAGCTCCCAAGTCCGAATGGGGTCCATCTTTTTCTGAAAGGTTCAGTTGTCCATAATCACTTCTTTTTAATTTCAAATATTAATATATTTTCCAGATAAAGGCTCGTTCCTAACGCATATTCTGATGACAGTGATTGAAATGATATTTTACTAAACCAACCACGATAAAGATATGAGGAGGAATCTCATCCCAAAAAACTATTCTTCTCAATTATAAATATAAAATTTATTTTTTATATTTATAAATTTTTTTAAATTATCTTATTGATATTGTCTCACTTATAATTAAATAGGAGAAAAAGAGAAAATATTAAAAAATATAATTATGATATTTTAAAAAAATATCATATTTTTATGATTAACTAATTTATTTAATTTTTTAATTTAACTAAATTAGTTAAATACTACCTCTGGTTCTTAATATAAAACCTTGTTTAATTTTTATTTTGATCCTAAATATAAGATCCTAATCTACTTCAGTATTTTGTCTCTCATATGTATCCATTTCTTCCAAAGTAGTCATTATAGTAGTTGGACATGTTAAATGTTCAATCAAATGATAGTTTTAATTAATATATGATTAATAAAGATATTTTAGAAAAGAGAATATTTAATTATTATGAATAACTAACTTAACAAACTTTCTTAATATATTCAAATTAATTAATTAGTTCTTATATTAAAAATTAGAAATAATATATTCCCAATTATGGAGCAGTAGTTAAAAGAACATGATATGGGAGTTAAATATGAAAAGGGACTGGAGAAAGCAGAAAGAATGCCACCAATTCAATATCGACAGATCGTGAGTGACGACAGTGAATGTCTACATCGAGTCTAATTGTATTTGTAAACCTAAATATCGTACTATTTTTCATTTTAAATATAAAAATTAGTTGACTAATTTAAAAAAATTAAAAAATAAGTTAAATTAGTTATTTGTAATAAATAGGTATTATTTTTCCTGAAATATCCATATTAATCAAGTCTATTGGTTAGAACTATCATTATTAGAAGAACTATGTTAGTAAAAAATGTATAAATATGAGGACAAAATGGATTTGAGTATTATATCCAGAATCAAAATAAAAATCAAACGAGATTTTATATTAACAATCGGAGGTAGTATTTTGTAAAACTTAATTACATCTGAGCCGCTTCTCGTGGAGCCAGCCATCTGAGCCGCTAAATAACCATAACCATTTGTGTCATTATCAAGTCGAGTATAAAATTTATTTGATTGCATTAGATAATTGCTCGTATCAGAAAAATGAAAATCCATTAAACAGGTTGCGAAGCAAAATTACTGCATTCTCTTCTCAACTGAGTTAGACAAAATAGTTATTTTGATTTTAAATATAAAATTTTAATTTATTCTGTGCCCTAAATTTATAATTGCCTTTTCAAAATATTTTTATCAATTAATGAAGAAAAATACTTGTTATATTATAAATACTTACTCAACTAATTTTGACGTTGAATTTTGACTCTATAGTCCGCGCATATGGTATTTATGTATTTTAAATAAGTCCAAGATAAAGCTTATCTCAATCATGTAGGATGATAAGCTAGCATAGGGCTGGGCATGTAAATTTCTTTCCAAAATAATCCGAAAAGCTCGTGGGGTCTGCTGAGAGCGGTCCAAAACTTCTTTTCATAAAAGCCCATCGCACCTAGAAGTTCCTCCTCCTCCCCCCTCTCTCCCAACTCGATCCGAAGAAGCTAGGCAAGGAAACAGAATAGGAGGATCTGAAAGGTGAGTTCTTTCCTGCTGCGACCATTTTGACGCTTATCTTTAATTATTTTGTGAGGCTGAGCTGATAAATCTTGAAATCTTACGAAATCATAGGATTTTATTGGGTGATGGCCTCCAAGCGGATTTTGAAGGAGCTCAAGGATCTCCAGAAGGATCCTCCTACTTCTTGCAGCGCAGGTATTTTTTCATTTTTAAAATCTTTAGCTAAGCTTAGGGCCTAATAGAAATCCAGCTCAATTTATTTGTTCGGTCTACCTTTCTCCTGTATTTAGTTTAAGCAACTGTAGGTATACTCTTCACTAGGATATCTACCCTCTTTTGGCTTCTGCTTGGAACTTTCTGTTGAATGTGTGGATTTGGATCATGATAATCCTAATTAAATTGCCTTCGATTTTTACGTCACTTATTCTTGAAGGTTATGAGTTACCGAGCAATCTTGTTTTTAGGGTAGTAAATATCGTGGCTATGAGCCTCTGCGGTGGAGCTTCAGTTATCCTTTTATCCGATTCCATACTTGTCCTTTTTTCTGAATGGCTGTTTACCTTGCCCGTCGTATTTATTATGGGTTTAGTCACTAGGGAGATTCTCTTGTGTGGCAGGGCATTATATTACCATGTGAACAACAGAGAATTGCCTTTGTCTTGCCTGGATTACTGAGTATGCTTGGAAGTCGAACTGCTATATGATGTCTCTTGATAGCTTTCGAACACTCTTAGTTGCCCCTATAATTGGGAGCATAATTTCACATCATGTCTGTAGGTTTTTTTTCTTTCCTCTGCTTATTACTGCACAGCCTTATTTTCTTTAGTTTCTGATCTTTCTAATTCGAAACATATGGTTTTTTGGAAGTGGTTAAAGTTCATATACAATAAAGGATAACAGTTTTCCAGTAGTGCCAGAGTCTATCAAGCTGGAAATACCATGCTGATTTCATTATTTTGTTATTATGATACCTCTTTTGTCTATGTTATTGGACATCTTTCAAAGTCTGGTTGTTTTATATGTATTGTTTTGTTTTATACTTAACTACTTTGCTTGCTATATAACTTTGCTAAATTTGGCTGAGAGAAAGTTTGCGTTTGACGGAGTATTGTGTTTTATAATGTCCAGTCAGTTTTCAGTAGTATGGGAAATTAATACTATTGTTGGTTGTGTTACTCCTATTCCGCTGAAATGATCATAGTATCAGACGTCTGATCCTCTGTATATTGTAAAGTCATAAATTGTTTCTTTAGTTTTGATGTATTGTCATTGAATTGATGGGCTTAAATCTTCCAATTTCCCCTGTCACCTCTTGCTATATAAGTCTTCGTAAATGACCATTCATGATGCGAGAACTCTAAAAGTTGATTGTATTTCCTTGTACTGATATACTATCTCAGGCCCAGTGGCTGAAGACATGTTTCATTGGCAAGCTACAATTATGGGTCCTCCTGACAGTCCATATGCTGGCGGAGTATTTCTTGTCACCATCCATTTTCCTCCAGATTATCCGTTCAAACCACCGAAGGTACTTATGTATGAACTTTTGTCAGTAGAACTCTGCAATTAGATAGAATTATGCAAGATGGTTAGGTATGAAATAATTTGAAACGAATACCTGTACATCCTTTCAACCAATGGTGTTTGGGTGAAAAGAGAAAAGGGAAACCATTTGTGGGGGATGTGGTAACTAACTTGAGTTCAGAAGAGAATGTGGATAATTGATTAAGCCATGCTTTCCATCTCTAATGAAACTTCACTAAAAGACCGAAATATTGTTTAGATATAGCAGCTGATTGCCTATTGGAAGCTATGTGCTTCTGTTATCTGGTAATAGTATGGAAGTTTAAACTTCAACTATTCCATTGTAACCTGATGTGCCCAAATTCGAGAATTTGTATGCTTGTGTAACAGTGGGAGGAGTTTTCTGTCTGATTATTTTTATTTTTACTCCCTGCAGGTTGCATTCAGGACCAAGGTCTTTCACCCCAATATCAATAGCAACGGGAGCATCTGCCTTGACATACTGAAGGAGCAATGGAGCCCCGCCCTAACAATTTCAAAGGTTTGTTTAGTGCGTGCATTGCCAGATGCTAATGATACGCAAATTAAGATGAAAAATTCACGACAAGGACCTGTGGGATGTAAAAAGGGTCCTCCCGTATTAAAGAAGGGGTTGATACTTCGTAACAGGATTAACCAAAACAGTGGCTATTGATTCCTGCTGGGTATTTTTGCTGTAAATTATGCCATTTTAAATGCTATATTTAACGGTAGAGGAATTGCAGGATTGCTTTGTGGTCAGATCTCTGGCTTCATTTCCTAACTATAATTCGACTTATGCCAGACACATTGAACTTGACCACATGCCCGTGGAAATTGCTGAAATTGGAAACTAATTTTACATCATGTGGCCAAGTCCTTGTTAAGGGAGCTGGCAATGTGAATTCTGGAAACTAATTACAGCAAATTGCTTTCCGTGCTGCTTTATAAAATATCATATCTAAAGGGGAAACAATTCTTTTTGCCAGGTTTTGCTCTCAATCTGCTCCCTCTTGACAGACCCTAATCCTGATGATCCTCTGGTGCCTGAGATTGCTCACATGTACAAGACTGACAAGGGCAAGTATGAATCAACGGCTAGAAGCTGGACCCAGAAGTATGCCATGGGCTAGTTCTTTGTAATTGTGATGGGAGGGCCTGGCCTTTTTAATATATAATGTGTCAGTATAATCGAAAAATGTGTGATACATCTACTCTTAAGTCGGACGTAGAAGCAACCTGTTCTTCCCTCTGAAGAGAAACTGTGAACTTGTTTGTATTAGCTTATTGCATTTGCCTTTCAGTAAGGGGTCTCCTTAGACTTATGTTGCCTCTCTCAAAACGGGCGGCTATTCTGCCCCTATAATGCTCAGGTAGTCTCGTCATATGTGAAGTAGTATGGCCAGTAGCAGTATAGCCAATCACGACCTTAAATTTTTTTTTTTTAATTTTTTTTTTGGGGGCCAATGAGTACACAACCTTTAAGCTGCTCTAACGGCTGCCATAACTATGGATGCGGCATGGTCAAGATGCGTGTAAAAAGAGGTGCGAGATTAAAATTTGTTTTTATTCCTAACTTATTATAAGAATCTTTAACTAATAATTACACTTTCTAACTAATGACTTTCATTAATGACAATCTTTAAAATTTTTATGGAAGATAAATTTAACTAATTTTTTAAATTTATGTAAACCAGTTAACTGGGGCTCATGAAAAGAATATAGGATTGAGGAGTTGATGGGAATGAGACAGATACGACAGCTTCCATAGAGAAAGATCAAAGGGGATCTCGAAGCATGGCGCCAAAGTCTATCCCACCAAACATCCAGCCATGAATTGCTAGAGGGACATGCTTTAATTTCAAAGATATTACCAGGCTAGATCAACCGAAACGAGTCGCATAGAGTATGAAGAGATGATCCGTTATGTCAACATGAGATTTCAAAGCGCTGACAAATAGTTGCACAATTTCGTAGCATGGTTCCTATATTTCACAGCAAAACAATTTCTTTTCCAATAAAGTTTCTCTGGTTCCCACGGACCCACTACATACTTGCCTCGTGAAATTTCTTACATTTGGAGGGACTAATAAATTGCAAATTATTTTCCACACTTCAGAATCTGTGGTGTGAGAAGGACTAAGCTGTATGATCTCCATTTGTCAGGACATGTGGTAAATAGAACCCTATTTATTCATTAATAGTTGAATGAAATCCAACACATAGAGCCAACATGCATTTGTTAATAAAGCAATGACCTTGCATAGTTAAGCTGGCCTTAATAAATCTAGTTTAGAATTAAAGCCACAAAGGGTGAATGACAAGGTATAACTGTCATGGAATTAAGTTGTAAATAACAAAAGTTACATTTTTCAGATTAGAAATATCACAAAATACAATTTTAAATGTTGGTAAGGGTTCCACACTTCATTTGATCATGTTCTATCCCTCTCCTTTCTAGACAACAATCGAAAGGATTCGAAAAGAACAACAACGACCAAACTCACCGAATCTGGTTTCCATTGCCAAACAAAAATTTAGAAATGCTTCACAGCTCCCCTTTCAGTCTGGGTTCATGGGTTCATTTGCGCTGTAGTCAGGATTTAGTGTGAAGCGTATTGTTAGAGCATTTTGTGATCTCTAGATTTTATCCTTATTGATTCTTATGGTCTTGCAATCTCTTTGTTTGCTTCCTTCTGAATCTCAGGTGACTATTACAATACCCCAGAGTCCCTTTCCCTGTCGAATCTCCCAACACAGTGGAAACAGTGGGGACCTTTTCTTGTTATTAACATTTAACCCCCAGTAGAGATTAGAAGCAGCTCCTTCTGTTGAAATTTAAAATACACACGTGCTTAGCCAAAAAAAAAAAAAATTACATGCTACTATGTTATGTGGTTTTGTTTTAACCAAAAACTGTGTTCTTTTTTTGTTTTTGTTAAGATATAACACTGTCGGGTACTAAATGTGAGTGGATTAACTCTTTTTTTTTAGACTCAGTTCTTATTGGCAAACAATGTGTTGGTTATAAAGAAATACGTAAAATAAGAGGAACAAGGTGGGGCGCCAACCCACCATTAACGGGCTTGGGTTGGCAACATGCCAGCCCGTCTCGCGGCATTGCTAGTTTTGCCCCGCAACCCACCCTGTTGCGGTAAGGTAGATGAAATTGATATAATCACAACTAAACGGCACCGTAAATACTTTCAGAGGAAAACTCGCTTGCTCCACTGCTCGGTCACAACTCACACTCTTTGGCTCGCTTCCACCAAATCCTAGAGTTGTGCGGCGGCCTCCTCCTCCTCCTCCTGTCTCGTATTGCAACGACGGCAAAGTCTCTGTCTCGACTTAACGGCGTTCATCACTATGCCTCAGTAGCAGCTTTGTTCTTTTTCCCTTCAATCTTGCAATCGATCATCACGATTTCAGGTCCCCCCCTTTCCCTGTTCTGTGCTAACAATGGTGATGGCTGGTTTGCTGACCTGTCGTTCAATTTTTTCTTTTTTTAATACCACATTGCTGTGCTGTGCGCTGTGTTTAACGTGAATTTAACTTATTAGACTGAGCTTTGGACCCAAAAAAAAAAAAAAAACTTATTAGACTGAGCGAAGTGTATCAATTTTCTCAAATTTAATTAAATTACATATAATTTTTCTTGTTATTAATATTTTTCAGTTAAAAAAAATCACGATTTTTTTATGAAGAATTAATTTTGTTCAGTTTGATTAATCAGGTAAGTTAGTTAATTATAAGAAATGTGACATGTTTTTTCTAAAATATCATAATCATCTTTTTTAATACTTTATTTTTTTTATTTGATTATTGTTGATAGAGTATTCATAGAAGTAATTTAAAAAATAATAATAAATATAATAAATGAGTCTTATATTTAAAACTAAAACCAATTTAATAATTAGGTCTTATATTAATTATAAAAGAAGTGTAAAGTTAGACGGTGACAGATGGTTTGCTTTGGAGTTTTTCCCCCCCCCCCTCTGACCAGCAGGTGTGCTTAGAGTTTGATGCATAGTATCTTAGTCATAAATTATGAACTGGTGCAATTAGATTCCATATATATTAACATTAATATTGATGTCTAAGTGTAATTTGCATAATATAAGCGGCAAAAAGGAAAAGGTACACGATGCTGTTGCTTTTTGCCACTTTGCGACTAACTTTCAGCAGATTGTAGCCGAGGCCAAGACTGGGGCTGCGTCATCGACGCTGGCTTAAGTGCTAAAAGCTGAAGACTTTGCCTGAACAGCAACTTGCAAATCTCACTTTATCCTTAAATCAACGCTTTCACCTTGCCAAGAATCTTTGATTCCACGGTAAGATCGCTTCTTTGTGTATTTACATTTTTGCGCAACGGATCACAATTAGTGGCAGCTAATTCTGTGGTTCAGAACTTCGTAGCTGTCCGTTAAAATGAGCGCTGCAGCTTTCGGTTCTATTTGTTTTAACAGAAGCTGCTCGTGGAAGGTACTCCTCTGATTAATGATGCCTAAACTTTTACATTTATGTCTTATATGATTGTCTTGCTGATTTTTAGCTCTGGGGACTTCTTGTTCATTCTACATAATTTTGATCCTTATTTGTGGTATGGTGCTTTATCTAGAACATGAACATCCAGCTGATTTTTAACTCTAGTCTTTTGACGTAGTCCTGAAGGACTGATGCACATTTTGTTATTTTTGGGAACTAACTCATGCAGCTCACTAATTTTTAAAGACCGAAGCTTCATAATTCAAGGACGAGTTGACTTTTTTTTTTTTTTTGTAACTACTCAATTATGCTCTCGCGTAATTTGTTTAGGTGGAGAAGCTTTCCAAGTTAAGAAAGCAGCATGAGGGCAAACCATATATTAAATGCTCGATGAAGTCCAGTGACTGTACTTCACAAAGTACAGCACGTATTGGTGTTCTTGGAGCTAGTGGATACACTGGTGCTGAGGTGAATTGCATAGCAAACTCGCCTTTAACACAGTTTATCTAGTGCCTTGTGTTTCACTGTTAGTTCAGACTTTGGTTCAGACTTTGGAACGGTAGGTTGTGAACTAATGGTACTATTTTGTTAGGTTCTTCGGCTTTTGGCAAATCACCCACAATTTGAGGTTACTCTGATGACAGCTGATAGGAAAGCTGGACAGCCAATTGCATCTGTTTTTCCTCATTTGGCTATACAGGTACATCAAACTTAATGCATGATATAAGAAGAAAGGCAGTTTTCTCACTTTTTTTCTGGTATTTATCAAATATATCTCATGCTTTCTCTTTTATCATTCAAATTCCTTCTCCATATTATTTTATGTATATTCTTTCTATAATTGACTTTTCTGTGAGGAGATGTACGTTCATTCTGTGTTACATGAGTTCTAGCTATCCATATATGCAGAATTTGCCAGATTTGATTGCAGTTAAGGATGCAAACTTTTCTGATGTGGATGCTGTATTCTGTTGTTTGCCACATGGAACCACTCAGGTTCATTCTTACGACTCAAGATGTTTTGTTCCCTGATTTGAGAAACAAAATACTAGATTCTGGTTACCTTTTTCAGAAGAATGTTAAGGAGAGAGTTTCAGTTGTCTCAACAATTTTTCTTTATCAATGATGAGTTCTGGCTTCTTCTTCTTCTTCTTCTTTTTTTAAATTTTCAGGAAATAATTAAAGGCCTTCCCATGCACTTGAAGATTGTTGATCTATCTGCAGTATGTCAACAGAAGTATCATGACTAATTTTGATAATTTCTTTTGATTCTAAAACAAATAAAAGGTAACTTTTCAGATTTGTAATGAGATATTTTTGTAGGACTTCCGCCTACGAGATATATCTGAGTATGAAGAGTGGTATGGTCAGCCACACAGGGCGCCAGATTTGCAGGCCAGTCTCTATTTTCTACTTGGATGTTGCAGTAATTTCTTGATGTTTTTGTTAGTAAACCAATAGCCTTGAAACTACTATAAGGACATGGTGCATCACTTTGAGACTTCTAAGGTTCTAATTTATACCTTGTTGAGAACCTCGCATGGCATACTGTTGAACCACGGGCAATGCATGCATTTGAGAAAATGAGGTTACCTTGAAAAAGTTAACTTGTCAATTGTTTTTTATTTTTTTCAGTATCCAAATATTTAAGGTTTTATGTTAAATTTTCCCCAGAGTAGTGACATTGGAAAGTCTAAATTTGATGGCCATCACTCGTCTTATTTTTCCATGCTAAGCGATATTTTATTTTTTGTATCTAGAAAGAAGCTGTCTATGGATTGACAGAGATTTTGAGGGAAGAAATAAAAAATGCACGCTTAGTCGCCAATCCGGGTTGTTATCCAACATCCATTCAACTTCCCCTTGTCCCACTGATAAAGGTTAGCATTCTTATTGTGCGTTATGGTCCATATTGTGTGCTAGGCTGTCATTTAGTTTGTCAGTATATTTGTTTTGTGGTGTCTTTCTAAGTCAGCAATTAGGTAGATAAATGATCTTTTCTTGGCTACATTAAGTCAGTAATTAGAGATGCGTCTGATTGAGATATTAAAATTAATCGCAAAGTTAAGCTGTGTTCCTAAGGTTTATTACTTATATATTATCCATTTGTCTATGCACTATTGTTTGAATTTGATGGGCTGGGCCCTGGGGTGTTAGTCAAGCTTACGCGTTATGCACTAATCAAGTGGATTTATTGTTGACTTGTTGAAAGGATTTAGAAAGAAAAAGCAAAGCAGATATTTACAAATATGTGCATTACTTGCCATAAACTGGTGTCTATGGATTATGGACTGAGAAGTTATTCACAGTAAAAGATTAAGTCTTGCTTTATGGCGATTCTCCCACCCTGCTTATCCTTGGAATTCAGCGAGTGGTTTGTTTTTGGGTGTGCCTCTTGTTGATATACCAGAGAGAATGATTGCAGTGCTTTTTTTTCTTCTAATCGTTTAGTGCCAGAATTGTTTTCCATTTGTGAGCAAAGTTACGAATCCTTTTCTTTTCCATGAATTTTATTTTTTGATTAATGGCTGCTCTGTTTTATTTTTGGAGTAAAAATGCAAAGTAATTATTTGTCGTTGACTTTGATGAGATGAAGAACAAGAAGGAAAAAAGGTAATTAAAAAGGAAGATAGAACATATGTGGTCATCAAGGTTGTTTGCATCAAAAGGCGAGTAGTGTTTATTGAATACGACCTTTTTTCGCATCCTGCGATGGGTGCATGTATGAGTTACTGAACACACACATCAACTTTTTACTGAAGTCTGAGTTACTGAAATCAAGAAATTTTAGGGGTCCATGTTTAGAGCTCTGGACATAGCTTTTTACTGCTTAGCTTGAAAGACAATGCTGTTTAGTTTCAAGTTTTTTATTTTCCTTGGGTTTCAGGCTAATCTTATCGTGGCTAAAAATGTTATCATTGATGCAAAATCTGGTGTCAGTGGAGCAGGTTAGGATTTTAAGGCCTTCTTTTATATTTTGTCTCAACAATAGCAGTTCTGATGTCTGCATGTATCTGCTCTTTGGTTCGCTGTTGCAGGGCGTAGTGTTAGGGAAAATTTATTATTTACAGAAGTAGCTGAAGGTATCAATTCATATGGTGTCACCCGACATCGCCATGGTAAGTTGACATGACGTGTTTAAATGGATTTGTGCATTTTAAATTTTACAAACTTAGCTTAACTAACGCATTGAATCAAAACCCAAATTATTTCAAAGGTTCTTTGTTGCTATCTTTAAATCTCACTATTGCCTTGCTGGGTCTGGGTGATTATCATTTGCACTTCTGCATGTTATAAGCCTAATGATGATGGCAGATATATGCAATAAACTAATCTGTAATATGCAGTACAGCTTTAGTCTACATCACTGCTGGCATTTGGGAAGAGGGCAGACAGCTGGGGATAGTTCTTACGTGGCATGTCCATCAAAACCCTGTTCTTTTGTGATCCCCAATGTCAAGAATGGTCGGGCCAAATATTAACCAACTAGCCTACTTCTATATTAGGGGCTCTAATTTGGTCTGATAAGGATTTTAAGATATTTAATTATAGCTTGTAGTTTGCAAGCATAAACAGTCAAATTCAAACAAATTATTACAAAGTTTCCCATGCTCCTCATTGACATTGATACTCAAACTGATAACCTCTTTCCCACGTGAACAACATGGAGTTGAACCTTGTGCCTTTGAACTTCTGCCTTAGTCGGGGACAAATGGCATTGAGCATTTGTACTTGATTAGCTCAAACAAACCAGCCCATCAAATGGCCTGAACCTATAACACAGATTCTACTGTGTAAATTCCAGTTCCAGAAACTGAACAAGGACTCTCAGATGCTGCACGTTCAAGGGTAACCATTAGTTTTACCCCACACTTGATTCCAATGGTAAGAGTTTCTACCAGGATTTTATATTTTATATTATGTATATTCCGGTTATCAATTTAGCTTTAGCTTATGAAGATAACACCGCTTCCATCTACTAGATCCGTGGTATGCAATCGACTATCTATGTGGAAATGGCTCCAGGAGTAAGAATTGAGGACTTGCACCAGCAGCTGAAGCAATTTTACGAGGTTTATCCTTATTATCACCATAAATTGACAAGCATGCGAAAAATACACTGTTGTGCTGTTGATTAGTTTTCATTTTTTAGTTAGGAAATGTGCACAACCTTCATAAGGAGGCATTGGCCTACTATAATTGTTGCCTTTATCTGTCTGGATTTGGTCGATGTCTAAACTTCTATTTGTGCCTCTTCCTGACTTCCTCTTCCACTGCTTGGTGCTTTCAGGATGAAGAATTTGTCCTACTGTTGGAAAACGGAGCCATCCCTCGTACTCATAGCGTCAGAGGAACCAACTACTGTTTGATCAATGTTTTTCCAGACCGAATTCCTGGGAGAGCAATCATTATATCTGTAGTAAGTTTGCTTTTTCTCTGTAATTTTCGTTTTCATGTGATTTTGACTTTGCTTGTTTGTATTTGGTAAAGGCCTTGGCTCTAAGCATATCTGTGTTGTTGCAGATTGATAATCTAGTGAAGGGAGCTTCTGGTCAAGCTTTGCAGAATCTTAATGCGATGATGGGATTTCCAGAAAATTTGGGTCTTCATTACCAGCCTTTGTTTCCTTAGAGTAATACTAATAATATTATCCAAGGGTTAGCCAAAGATTTTGACTATGAGCCTTACTTTTCTGGCAAACTGTGGACTAGTCTAGTCTATTTTCATATTTGTTTTCATTGATTGATGCAGGCATGCTGCGGGTGATGAAGCAGAGTCAAATAGTTAAGGACGAGGTGCCAACTAGATGCATTAATGAATATGTTGTTCAAATTATGTATTTGTCAATAAAATTTATCCTTAATAATCCTTCTTGAATGAAGGGAAATTGTAGGACACGGATGTTACGGAGTAGTCAATTCCATCCTTGGTTGTAGGATTAGCATGTTTCGCATGTTTCTCTTCATATCACTTCTTTCGTTTTGCCTTCAGATATTTATGATTATTTAATTCCATAATTCTTGGGCAAAAAACCCTACTTTTTAAGCCTACGTGCTGCTTGTGTTTTGTCTTTTACCCCTCATATTAGTGTTCGTTACGATAGCCTCTAATTTTTCCCCTTGATAAATGACTAATTGTGACTTTTGAGGAGCTTAAAACATGTTAGAAGTTTGAAACTATTAAATGCATTGTTATTGAAGACTTATCTAGTGACTAATATTTCTTTAGACAACTAAAAATATTATGTTCCCGTCAAAAGAAATAAAATGCTACGTTGTTGGATGTAAACGTTGATTTTTATTCTTAAAATTATTTTAGTTAATAATTAATAGTTAGAAAAATACATAAGAAGCCAAAATACAAATAGGAAATGACGCGGAAAGTACAGGCCGGTTTAGCGCATGGAGTGACATGATGAAATTTAGATAAAAATATGATCAACGGAAGTTGAGTTTAACGAAATGAGTTAATTTCTTGTAATATAGTGAATTAAAATTCAAATTCCAGGTGAGAGACATACTCACATTTAATATTCAACAATACTTCAAATCTCTAATAAAATGATACCCATGTAATAGGGGGAAAAACAATACTCATCTTTCAAATAATAATATTGTTATTTAGGTTGGAAAGAAAATTATTTTTCTAGCTGATCTGGATTTGTTGAAGGAAAAATTAAATACTTATATAAAAAAAACATATGGCTCCTACAAGGCATTCTCAAGCCAGTTAAATCTGAAATTTATCTCGAATCATGAACTCAAAAAAATATTTTAATTGATATGTTTAATTTGGAGGAAAAAGATGGAGAGAATAGAAAAGTCAGGATATTTTCGAATGTGTCATAAACAATATTTCATTAAATTTTGTAAGCATTCTTATATTATATTAAGGACTAATAAGTAGGATTTTATATAAATAGGAATGGATAGAGTAATATATGTTATTCTATTAATTTTTGGGCTACAAAGAAGGATTTTACCATGTCTCTAGACAGACTATACGCATTCATAATTTAAAACTCATTTTTTGCCACCATTAATTTTAAATTTATTTGCAAGATTAACAACATCATAGTAGTAGTACTATATTAAAAAAAAATGGGTGAAAAGGATAGTTAAAATATCGAGTAAGTAATTAGGGCAAGTAGTGACAAAAAAATGAAATGAAAATAAAGAAAATAGAACCAAGTGGGATTTGATTCAACATAAAAGATTAGTCTCTCATAAGTTCAAATTCTCATTAAAAGAAATGCTTACATTTAATCACAGATCGTATCTCAGTGGAAAAAAAATAAAAAAAGGAAAACAGAGGGAAGATTATTGTGAGAGCATTAAATGGGAGGTGGGTAAATGTTGGACAGGAAGAGGCAGCGAGGCAGAGGAAAGAAAGCCGTACATGCCTCTAAGCTTTTCGGTGGTTTTAAGCTTTTGCATTTACAAGCCTCTCTCGTATGATATAATTATCCTCCAAACATATGGCTCCCACTAGCCATTAGGGCGTCGAACCAAAACAGTATGCGGTGACACTTCACGAATTTAAAGTTTAAACTAACGGCAAACAAACAACATGATGTTGAAGGCTCAGAGCATTGAAAAGCACGCTTCCCTCCCTCTATTATTGTTGCTCTCACATCGATGACCTGATCATCTCTCTCTGATTATTATTATTATTATTTTGGTGTATCTATCTGTGATGAAAGGCGCACATGGAAGCTTGCCTCATGTCTTCTTCTGCGTAACGGCATTGCTCTCTGGAGTTTATGAAACGCTTTAATTATATTCATCTCTCGAGAATCAAACAGAAGACCGTCTTCCTTAAAATCAGCCTCCTAATCTCTGTTTGTTTATTGAAAAGTAGCAGAATAGAATCACTGTGCAATGAGGCTGAAGATTTATTCTGATTATGAAGCCGTCGACGACTCACCACATGTTAATCCATCCTTAAATTTATAAATTAATCCTTGTCTCTTATATGATCATCATTAAACACCATATCTCACCCACTAATCATTCCTCTTTTTCGGCTCATTCATTAGTGCTTTTTGGTGGTACTGTTATTCTTAAGTGTGACACTTTTTCATGGTTGGCATGTTCCGTAAAGTGAAGGCCACAAATTCATTTTATGTTGAGCTTTAACCAGTGTTAGGTATGAACATTGTGTGAGCCAGCTAATTGGCTCATTCATTGTATTGTCTAAACACGTACGTGCCCTATGCCTATTAATTTAATAACGTTGATGAGACATGAAGAACTAGCTGTTCAGAGGTTCAATGCTCTGTAGCAGAGTTACTGTAAATAGCACTAATAATCTTTCGAATGTCACCCTTCTCCCATAGATCTTAATAACCTAAAGGATTTCCATAAACTCTGCTATATATGCCTGCAAATCCAATCTATGTAGCTTCGACCCTTTGATCCATGTTCGCTGTGATATAGCAAGTTCTAATACATGCAATATCATCATTGACAAATATTTGCCAATTATTCATCCTTGGCAACAATAGCAATAATAATTAACACAGACAGAATGTCAATATATATGTGTAGACGTTGGCAGCATTTAATTAATTAAGCATCAAATGGGGAAATGATATATTATTTGAAGGCCATCAAAGCCACTTTAATTAGCAGAATATTCTAAAAATTACTCATTCCAGTTTTTCATTCATTTCGTATTACCTTTCCTGTTCCTTAATTTATCTTTTTCTTTATCAGATGATAGCATGAAATTAAAGCAGAAGAGGTTAAGCTCTGAGACTGTGCGATGAAGTAACATAAATTCTTTTCAATAAGCCTCTTTCGTGATCGTCCAAAATATAAGTCTCATTTGGTATATCCAGGATATTAAATGGTTTTTTTTTCTTTTGATTTATCCTTGCATATAACTCCATTTCTCATCCTTGTACAATGGAACTTAATCATATTTTGAATGGAACGAGGGAGTAGCGCACCAAAGCAAAGGGCATTTAAAAAAAAGACACAGAGGCAGAAGAAGAAGAACTAACGGTGCATCAGTGCAGCGAAGCATTTGAATCAGCAAGCAATGAGAAGTAGCAAACTTATTTAGGGGAGAAATTAGAAAAACACAACGATAGGGGCTCACAAAGAAAAGACATTGAATGCCTACGACTTTAGATCCTAACAACGTATGATTGATTGTACTACTACTAATCTATTTCCCGCATCATGATAGTATTATATCGTTGGCCAAAAAAAAAAAAAGAGATCATGATAGTAATATATCAGGAATAACGTACGTTCTATATATTACCAATCCTCGTGTATCCAGATATCATGCATGCATGCAGTTTTATATAGGGTTAAGCGGTAATAATTTGTCTCGAAAATTTTCAATTAAAGCACTAAACACCTAAAAGTTTCTTTTAATGCAAATTTATCTTAAAAGTTTAGAATTGTAACAATGTTGTTCCGTATTCTTAAAAATATTAACTGTCAATATTACTATTTTAGCAGTTGATATTAGTTTTTTAACAATAATTGATAGCAATGTTATGATTTTAAACTTCTAAAATAAATTTATATTCACAAAAACTTTCGGATGTTCAGAACTTTTAAGCGAAAATTTTTTAGATAAATTTGCAGCTTAATATGTATTATATATGTAGCAATGGTTTTGATATACGAGGGCATTAAATGATTAATAAAAATAAAAATAAAAAGTGAGGGAAACAAGTAACAATATAGTAAAGAGAAAAGAAAGGGCTGGGGAAAAGAAAGGAGCTAAATTGGGGGGGGGTGTTGGATTGAGGTTTCCAAAATGATAGGGCATGCATTGAGTGGCTCAAGGCATGAAGGCAGAGCACAGACCTTGTTGAGTTTGACTTTGTGATCTTGTGTTTGTGATTTCCTATGAACTAACAAAAACAATGGACGTTTTCTTCTTAGGGTTCCTCAATGAACGCTCATACATGTAATGATGTAACCTACGAGTTATTTATCTGTGAGGTATAGATCATTTGATCTCAAGCTCTTGCCTAATTTTAGTCCCATTCCATAATATAAGAGTTAGTTAATCAATTTGAATAGATTAAGAAAGTTTATTGAGTTAGTTATTTGCAATAATTAGGTGTTGTATTTTCTAAAATATCCTTGTCAATCATGTATTAGTTAAAATTACTATTTGATTGATCTTTAACATGTATAACTACTACAATGACTACTTTTAAAGAAAATAGGTAAATACGAGAAACAAAGCGAAACAGAATCTTATATTTACAATTAAATTAAAAGTCAAACTAACTCTTATATTAAAAACAGGAGGTAGTAATTGTATGTACGCTTCTAAACTTTGCCAAATTTCTATCACGAGCAGAGTTGAATTATAAGGTATTTTAATGGCTGAACTAACTCATCATTTAACCAGGATTTTAAAAGTCGATTTTGCTTCTTTAGTCGGGCCACAAATGATTAACAAAGAACTCTGGCTTTGATTAACCTGGAAGACGCTATATTTGTTTTGCAGAGAGATGCCATACATGCATATTAAACACAATTAGAAGCACCAACGGTGCTATATAGTATGATGCCATAATTTTAAAAATTTTAAGATACGAGTACGATGATATATACTCATCCGGTCCTTAATATAGGACCTAATTGTTGAGTTAGTTTTGATCATAAATATAAGATTCATTTATCATATTTATCAGTTTTTTCTAAATTACCCCTATGGATACTCTCTCAACCATAATCAAGTAGAAGAGGGAGAGAGTATTAAAAAAGATGATTATGGTATTTTAGAACAAACGTGTCATATTTTTTATAATTAACTAACTTACCTAACTTCCTTAATTTAATCAAATTAGTTAAACGGATCTTATATTAAGAACCGGAGGAATATAATTTCAAATTTTGAGGTATAGGTATCTCGATAAAGATATTTATTTTTTAAAAAAATCAATATAATATTTGGCCCTTCAAATTTGCATGAATCTTGATTTTAATTTCTCAAATTTCAAATTTTGGTTTTAACCAAAGACGTCATAAATACTCTCTTAATCT